ACCTGCATGCATGTGCCTGGTTTTGCACTGTTCGTGCTACCCTATCTCGTCAGCAAGCACACACATGCATGCACGCACGCACGCTTGCAGCGCGCGGTGTAGTCTCTGCTGGCGTGTCCTTCGCGCTGCGCTGAAAGATACCAGCGGTGTTAATACTGAGAGAGGTAAAAGAATTTCACGTTTTTCCTTTTATCGTCTAGGCAAGGATTATATTTCTATGGTTGTCTATGTTGAGATAGTTATCAAATAAATATATCAGCCCTAACTAGTTAATTACGAGCATATATGAAACTTTAATTAGTATGAGTAGATCAAGTTGGTGTTGAACTTCGATCGTAACCTACAAATTGCCACCGTAAAGTAGGTGACATAGTATATATAACTGTAGTATGAACAATTTAGTACCTTCAGGGTTTGTAGTTTCGAAATACACACAAATTTCAGAGGTACCGAAATTTCGTTTTTTTTAAAAAAAGTCAGAAATTTAGAACGAAACATTTCAAAACGTAAACACATTTGAACTCAATTTGAATAGCTTTTAGCAAATTCATAAATATTTAGAAAAACCCTGAAAATTTCAGATGACATAGTTGTGTGACGGGGGGTAGTCCAAAATTTCAATAATCTTGAAACCGAAATTCAAACCCTGTGTAGTAAACATGTGCCAAGGGTCGAATGGCGACTGGGATATGGATCAACCGGCAGTTGCTAGTGCTCTAGGTTGACTAAAGAAAAACATCCATAATCAGAGTTTTGCAAATATTGGTCATGGATTAACTTTGTTACAAAAAGATCTCTGGTAAAAATATATTTGACGTCAAAATAATATTGGTCAATCCCCGCAAAAAAAATAATATTGGTCAAGATTTGGTTAATATTATTTTTTCAACTAAAATTCGAGTGTCCTAAAATATCAAATACTACTATAAATTTACTAGAGAGAACACTTGCCATGATGCATGATAGACTAATGGCTGCAAAACTCAACGAAGTTAGTCGCTGACCCATATTTTGACTTTTATTCTCTTACATTATTGCTTGATATTGTTTCGTCTATCTATCATTTGAATGATTGGTTAAATTCCATCTATCAAATTGACGGTTAGCCACTGGATTGAGATTTACCCGCCTATGCATACCAGCCGCCCTATTGCATATAGAAAACAAACCCATATATTACTCATAACCCTAATCCCCTCTTCTTGACATTTGCCTCGCCTATCAATAGTAGTCACCCGAGTTCACCAACTGCCAAAATGATACTCCCTTCGTCCCATTTTAAGTACAACTATGAGTTTCCATGTCCAACTTTAATCATCCGTCTTATTTAAATTTTTTTATAATTAGTATTTTTATTGTTATGAGATAATAAAATATGAATAGTATACTTTACTCATGACTTATGTTTTTAATTTTTTTTAAATAAGACGGACGATTAAAGTTGAGCGCGTAAAACCATGGCTGCACTTAAAATGGAACAGAGGGATTACATCGGAAGGGTCGGTCACAAGGCTTCCGCTACCACCTATGACCTATCATCCTCTCCTCCACCCTTCACGTTGATAGCCTATCCAATAAATCGTCGTTGTGCCAACCTTTGTCTTCAACGTGTCACCTCGTCCAACTTTACATGCTTCTCTTACATCCGAAACGCAAATCTCTATTGGCTTTTCCTCTAACGCAAATCTCTATTGGCTTTTCCTCTTACTTCTATTTCTAACCCTCCTCTTCTTTACTAGTCACGGTGTCACCCACTGAATGTTATGTTAATTAGTCTTCATTGCGCTTTCCCCTTAATAACGTGCTGCTACCATGAACCCTCTAGTTAATGCCTCTCTCACGAAAATGATCGCTACATGTTAAAGATTTTCTTGACCCCTGGTAGATGCTGGTGACGAACTATGTGTCGATAAAAGTCTTCCGCGACAAATAATGGGACATTGATATACATAAGTTGTTTATATTGACATATCGAGAATTTTTAATTATGTCTATATATGCCGTGGACTCTAGTGTTGTGAAGGCGAATCTGTACACTAGTGAGAACTAAGACCCTGTTTAAAAGGGACTAAATCTTTTACGTCTCTATCACATCGGATGTTTGGACACTAATTATAAATATTAAACGTAGACTATTAATAAAACCCATCCATAATCTTGGACTAATTCGCGAGACGAATCTATTGAGCCTAATTAATCCATGATTAGCCTATGTGATGCTACAGTAAACATTCTCTAATTATGGATTAATTATGCTTAAAAATTTTGTCTCGTAAATTAGCTTTTATTTATGTAATTAGTTTTGTAAGTAGTCTATATTTAATACTCTAAATTAGTGTCTAAATATAGAGACTAAAGTTAAGTCCCTGATCCAAACACCACCTAAGATTTAATAAGGTCATATGAGAGAGAAACCTGTGATGTTAATTACTGTGCAATGCCATCCTTCACTTCCTTTGAAGTCCCATGCATATATATGTACATGGGGCACATAAGTACTTTTTATCTTTTTCAAGGCAAACATAGGGCAAGAGCCCATGCACATGAAATCGATCTTGAGGACTGGTCTTACGAATTATGATCGATTGGGAAAGCATATGAGGCAGCCGATCTGGCGTTTAGTTGATGTATGACAGAACATGTTTATAGCTAGGGGTGAAAACGGTACGGAAACGGACGGAAATCATCTTTGTTGTTTTCGTTTTCATATTTTTTTGAATCGAAATCGGAATCGGAAACCCCGGATACGAAAACGGAATCGAATATTATCGAAATCGAAAACGGAGCGAAAACGAACCGGCGCGAATACGGTAACGAAAATATATCGGAATAAAAAAACCCTCAAACTGATAAACCCAATTCGCAAGTCTCAACGGTCAACAATTCATCATAAAACATAATCATATAAGTCCAATTGTTAAGTATCAACAGTACATCATAAAACATAATCTATGGAATAAATTAGTAATGCTGTTGATAAATCCCAATGCAGGAAAAAAATATTCTCATGTAATTTTAGATTTGCATAACAAATATTTTTTTTAAAAAAAAAAGCAAAACACCATGGTATTAACTATTCAGTGCTTAAAAAAAGGAATCTAGGGTATTTTGTGATTTCTAGAAATTCGGAGAAAACTTCCGGAAAGTTTCCGACCGATTCCGACTTCCGATGGAAATTGCCCTTATCATTTCGATTCCGTTTCCAAGAAAATATTTCCGAATCTGTTTCCGTTTCCGAAAAAATTCTCACCGACAGATTCCGTTTTCGAAAATAGGTCCGGAATCCAGAAAGTTTCCATACCATTTTCACCCCTATTTATAGCTGCCTCTTGTAAATACAAACCAGTTGGACTCCCCTTGACCTCTATGGTTAGATATAATTAATCTAGCTTTGTATTAATTTTAAAATAAAGCAGTGGATGGAATACAACTAAGTGTACTTATTGCTGAAATACAATTATATTTTGAGTGATTCATAGTGTATTACTCCCTCCGTATTTTAATGTATGATGTCGTTGACTTTTTAATCAACGTTTGACCACTCGTCTTATTCAAAAATTTTATACAAATATAAAAATACTTATGTCATGCTTAAAGAACATTTGATGATAAATTAAGTCACAATAAAATAATTTTTTTAATAAGACGAAAGGTCAAACACTTGTCAAAAAGTCAACGGCGTCATACATTAAAATACGGAGGGAGTATTTAGTACTCCTATTATCAAAATATTTTGAATTAATATCTCCCAGTATCTCAAGTACTAAAAAGTAGTACCAAAATTTACACTTTTTTTTTGTGTCGTTGTATTTACCAATTAACCATGCTCCCAAGTCACGTGCATCATAAGTAGAAGGTCAGTCGACTTGTGTGAACAAATGTAAGGTTGGGTCAACTTATATATGTAGCGGTTGAAGAATTGGAGCCCTATGTGCTAGTTGAGCTGTGCAGAGAGTGTCTCCGAGGCCCGTCGTGATCCTAAACACTGCAGCGCGCGGAGAGGTCCATTAATTGCATTTTTCTGTTTATTTTCTCAAATCGTGCAATAGTTTTTGCAACGTGCGTGCTCCAAACAGCGACTCAATTTGACGCCCCTCATGCCAAAACACTAACAATCAGCAATTCAGCCCGTACTTTCTTTTGCACGGTGAGACCCCAGCATGAAACTGTTGAACTGTAGGATCACACCACTGATTCACTGAAACATGTACAGTGCATGGCGACCGTGGCATCAAGCGGCCGGATCCGTCGATCGAGAGCGCGATCGCCTGATTGCTCTTGACGTCTTGCAATGATGGCGCGCTAGCAGATGATCCTTCACCACGTACGCCAAGTAGCGGACAGATCCACTCTCCACGGCGCCTGCACGCACGCGCGCACGCACCCCAGAGTCCCCAGATGGCCAGCGACCAGTTGTAACGACACGGGCGGGCGGACGCGCGTCGCAGAGGCTCGCAGGACAATCCCCGCGCGCACCAACCCCCGCGCGCCGCTTGCCCCCGCGGCCCGAGACGGCCTCGCCTCCGGAGTCCGGACACCGACCTCGCTGCCTTGGCTGGCAGCTGCTGCTTCGCCTGCATGTGCCGTACCGTACGTGCCGGGCCTGGAGCGAGAGAAACCGGAGGAGGAGGAGACAGACGAGGCGGCGAGGCCCGGCCGGCACGGAAGGGGCTCGCGCGTGTTTGGTTTGCTGCTCCCCGAACACAACGGGATCGCGTCAGAGACCACGTAACAGCTAACGGGGTCCGGCCACGTACAGGTACAGGACTACAGAGGTACACCACCTCCCTTGCCTCGCTGTAGCACACGTGATTTCTCACCGCTCGACGCTCGTCCTCTCCCCTCCCTGATCCCCGGGCCCCGCGAAGCATCTCCCCACCTGTCAGTGATAGTATCCGTGTCCTCGATCCCGTCCACGGCCCCGCCACCCGTGGGGTCCTCTCCTCCCGTCTCCGCATCCACCTCCTCGGCCTCCGACTACTTAGCTGGGGCAGTACTGCACTGCTGGTAATCGTCTCTTCTCGTTCCTAACACCAGTCCACCTCTGCTTGGTCGTCACCAATTCGTCGGCGGTAGTGGTGGGTAGAGCACACAGAGGGTGTGTTGCTGCTGAGAGGAGGGGTGGAGAGACCGGCCGCGTGATGTTGGTGGGAATGGAGGAGGGGGATGCGATGGCGGCGGCGAGCTCGGGTTGCAGCAGCGGCTGCCAGTCCGGCTGGACCACCTACCTGGACGATCACTCGTCCTACTCCTGCGGGACCGCGCGGTTCCACGGCAAGGCGCAGCAGCCGTACTACCACTGCGACTACTCCGAGGACGCGGAGGAGGACGACCTGTCCATGATCTCCGACGCCTCCTCCGGCCCACGCCAGCAGTGCTCCACCGGCAACGACGACGGCGCCGCCGCCGCCGCCGCGCATGCCAATGCGGCCCGGAGGAGAGGCAGGCGCATGGAGCCCACCGCCAGGCGGCAGAGCAAGACGGCCGCCGGCGCGTCTCTTCTCGAGGACACGGCAAGCTCGCCGGCGTTCTTCAAGTACACCAATGTAACGTGACGTTTTGTGCGGCACACATCAGCTCACTGGTTTTTTCTCTCCCTTTTCTTGGTTGCTGATGAGCGTTTACCATCTGCAGGCCTCCGCTGAGGGCAATGGCTATGGCTATGGCGGCGTGGCCTCTCCGGTGATGGAGATGGGCAATGCGGCCGACTTCTCCTGCGCCTTCTCCGCCACGACGGGCTTCGAGGTGAGTTGCTGTTCGCGCGTGCCAATATGAACCTGCATTTGGCAAACGCTCCCACGTTGTTCGTCCGTGTGATTATGGCAGCTAATCGCTTCTGTATTTGTTTTTCAAATCTCGTTACAGAGTCCCTTAAACGGGATTCCCCTGAGTGGCTACCTGCAAATGCAGTACTCCACTACACATGTCAAGGCGATTCCCGCAAGACAGGTGAGCATTCTCTAGTCTCCATACTTGATCGAAGAGAGAAATGGCAGCCTTGTAGTCTTACCAATAAACGTGTGGCGTTTCTGCAGGCGCGCAGAGGTGGGGTTGAGAAGAAGAGGCGGTGACTCGAGAGGAGCTGTTGCTGTTGATGGCCTCGTAGGGTGGTGCTCCCGGCCTGTGCAGTGTGCACGCACTGCTCTGCTCTTCTCTGTTCCGTTCTGTTATTGGGAGAAAGAGGCCGATATGGGCAGGCAGCTGGGTAGAATGTGTTTGCAAATCTTCAGATCCCCAAGAGACGATTACTACACATTGATCCACCATCTGTCTGTCTCCCTCTCCCTCTTCTGTTCTATCTGTCACTCTCTCCTCGCTCTGTTTCACTATGACCGTCCCTGTTACTCCCCCAGCTGCAGTTAGTATTCCACTTTTTAGCTCTCAATGCAGTGGGAAACAACCACCTGAGGCAAAACAAGGCAACGTGAAATCCAATCCTTTTTGCACCGCGTTTGCTGTTTTTGTCATTGTGATACCCTGTCTTCTCTGCGTGTTTGCAAACGTTGACGTCAACCGCTCTATCCTACGACCCAACAAGACCACGGTCGTGAGCCGATAGAACCATCCACTGCCTCGCTTCTAGATATTTGCAGCAGAAGATTCAGCAGAAGAAAAGAAAAAGAACAGCTCTCGTAGTTAATGCCTACCAACTAACTGGCGATAGAGTATCATCATCCTACACAAAAAAATAAAATAAGAAAAGCACTAATAATCTTAGGACCAGCCTGGCTCGCACGTAACGATGTTGTACGTACTAGTACCAGTCAATCTGAGTAAACAACAAAGATCCCACATTACATTCGTGCAAAACCTTCTTTTTCGTCTAGTATAATATAATCCTTCCAGATTTTTTCCTTCTAATTTTCTGGCAACTGGCTGGCCATGTCTTTGTCGCGATTGATCCTATCAAAAGGAAGTGGCACGATACGTTGTATTCAAGTGCGGACTAGGACCCATATGCCATTGGGAGGAACACACACACAGAGGGAGGAAGAAAACAAAGGCATGCTGATCTAGTGGAGAGTAGCTAGCTGAGTCAGTCAGGGCACGTACTGCTCCCGGCCCCCTCGAGCACAAGATCTCTCTGATGAATTCTTTAAAGCGGCGAAAAACGGCATGTGCGCGGCGAGTACTTGTGTCTGCGCCCGGTCCCTCGGGTTAGTGCACGGTTCCAGCAAGAGAACAAAATGGCGCAAGGGGCAGCGTCCGCTAATGCTTATCGCTCGCGATCGCGCTCGCCGTCGCGCGCGCCCATTGGCCGCCCACTGCCACTGTACGTGGGGGGTGGCGGTACGTACTACTACTACCGAACATCGCGGTCGAGCCCCAAACCGCCGCGTTGCCACTTGCCGCTCGCCGCGCCCCCACCCCGTGGCACTGAGACAAATCGTCAAATCCCACTGCTCCTGATGAACGATCGTTGCGTCGATAGATCGATGGAGCAGCGTACAGCGACCTTCCTAGTAGTACTAGCTCGTAACTATCGGCAGCCATCATCGTGAGACCAGCAGCTAGCGTGCGCGTCACTTGTTTCTGCAGCAAGTGGCAACTGGCATACTATCTTGCTCGCTATGTATTCACGCCACTAGTGGGTGGCTAGCCACTGTTACTGTTACATCTGGTATATACTCCTACATCGATCAATCCTGCTTACCGAGAGGGAATATGTTAGTGCATCTGTACATGGGGATGTGGTGACGTGAAAAGAGCAGAGGGAAGTGCAGACACAGACGAGAGGGAGTAGCAACGGAAGAGGAAATAAAGGGCTATCCCATTGACGGTCACTTTCGGAGCCAGGGTGGCACGAGGCAGAGAGACGAGATGAGGTTGAGATTGGGTGATGCGGGCGCCGGCGGGGGCCGCGTCGCGTGTGTGCAGTGTACCAGCGGCGTCGTCACGGGCGGTAGAATCGATCGGGGCAAAGGGAACTAACCGGAGGCGATCGAGGGGATCGGGAAGGGATCCATCGACATCGATCACCGGTGGCGCCGTGGCTGTTTTCCAGAATTGGGGGTGCCAACACCGGCGGGTCCGAAAGGATGGGGGTGCCAACACTCGCATCGCCCGTATGATACACCCGCAACAGCTAGGCCGGCTGTACTACCGCTGCTGTTCACGCTGGCGATGATGATGTGCCAGCAGTCATGGCCTGCCGCGCCAGCCACCGGGATCTGTGCCTCTCAGATTCTTCTCCATCGTGCCTAGCTAGCTACCTACTATACCTGCCTCTACTTGTTATTACCACTACAGTATATAGACTATAGTACACGTTTCGAAATTTACCATCGATATCGCTCGATGGGAGGAAACAAATCAAACAATGCATGACACTAGCTACCAGTAGTGCTGGAATACTGGATGGTTGGTTTGAACCTGTGTTGAATTGTTGATCAATTGTTATCGAAGGTTAACTGCCGCAAAGCGAGCCGTGCAGTTCCTTTGCATCGATAGAGATATGATGTCGCTTGCTTGGTGCGTACCACTAGAACACTAGCTAGCCAGCTAGGGCTACATATATGCGGTCTTATGTCGCACAGTTCAGATGCCGCCGGAGGCAGCGCTGTCTGTGAATCCGGAGACACGGTTACTAGTCGCTCCATTTACGCCGGCGACTTGGGGGCGCGCTGGGCTCGATCTTAGCTGGTGCCCGCGCTGGAGAGGCAGCGCAAAATCGAGAAAAAGCCCATAACTATGCATGCGTACGCACGTACTGATACGGCTAGCTCTCTTTACGTCTACTGGTACAGTGCTAGCTAGGAGTAGCTAGCTTGTCCACGAGCCACATATGCTAGTACGTGTGCTGCATGTACATATGGTGGCAGGAGTGGAGTATTTACTGTATGCTACATATCGAGCATTACTGTTGGGCGTTGAATTGCCTCATTTATATGTGAGGCGGGGACGGCGTACGTATACTGAAGCGACGCCGTGCGTCGGCACATGCTGCAGTTGATATGATGTCGCTGATCCCAGCAGGAACCAATAGAGTCTTATACTTATGGAAGGTTAATGCTGGCTTCAGCTAGCGGCGCGTTGTTGGCTAGCTGGATAGTTACACGTACCATCCAATGGGGGGACGCTTGTGCATGGCCTGATTGATGCAAGCGCGGACAAAAGTTGTTGCGGCTCCTGGTCTGACCTGTAGCTTTCATTCAGGCACTCGTGCAAAAGTTCAGTTTTTCCCTGGGGAGCTGCATGCAAGTTCATGAACCAGAGATTAGTTAGAGCCAGAGGGTTGATTTTACGGTTCAATGTCTATGATTAACTGAACTGAAACTGCCTGATTCAGATTTCAGAAGTCAGATACATAGAAGCTGCACTGCATCTGCATGCAGCTTGGGGAAATGAAAATTATAAATTGCTGCGCATGATGCATGTTATGGAGCTTGATGATGATGGATGGATCAAGACATCCCGTGCACAGTACAATAAGAATCCAGCTACATTCCCGCCAATGTTTCCAATTCACAATGCATCGTTGTACATCCAACGCTGTTCCCCTTGGATCCATCCTAGGACAACCTTGTATTCATAGCAGGGCACTAAAATATGACGCCCAAAGTCAATCCCTGTCCCCCTAGAACGGCAAAATTAAAAACCATTTCTATCACAGATATGGACACGCTTAGATAAGCACAAACACGCTTGCAGTAGTATCGATTAGCAAGTTAACTACCGGAAGCCGACCATTCATCAATGTTCGATGAAGATGGTGGTCGCACCAGAGCTCTGATCTGCTATTACTATCAACCATGTCCCATGGGAATGCTACTGAATACTGACTGATCAGTGATCAGAGAACAGTAGAACACTTGATGAGCTTTGGAGGAGTGGCAAGAGAGCTTCAGGGACAATATGGTTTACTAGTACTCCATCTTGCGGTTACTAGCAATAGCTTTTGTGTAGTGTCAAATCGCGAGGCTATCCGAATCATGGACAGGATCCTGTCACGCGCACTCAAAGAGAAGCAGGCACACATATGGAGATGGAGATGACCACTACCGAAGAGCATCGAGAGAGTATGGGGGCGGATGCAATATCATGCAATACCTGCCTAACTGCCTGCCCTTACTCTTCCAGCCCATCATGCCGGCCGGGTGGCGACTTTATCTCATCTGATCGAGGTGTGGATGGGGAATAAAAACGTCCCCACGTCTGCTTCCAATCCCATTATCCGATTCTGATGCCCGCATGTGCGTATCACAGAAAGATCACTCGCTATATTTGTTCAGAGCCATCAGCACTGTGCGATGCTCCCCTTTAATACCTGAAAAGGTTGGTCGGCTGGCCTATTCTTTTTTTTCCTCCCATTAATTGATGTTATCTTGCATAAAAGAAGTGCTTTTTTGCACTGTGTTTTTTGACCTGTTTTCTGCACACCACTGTGTTTATAGCTTCCCTCGATGCTTCTGAAACGGCACGGCAGTATGGTGGTAAGTTCAATGGACATGCAGATAGAACGATCGATCAATTCTTGATCTTGCTGTAGCACTGTTCACCGGTCTCGTTTGAGCTCAGCCGATGATATATACTACTCATACTTTGTTGATAACTTTGGACTCCCAGAGTAAAGGTGCGGCAGTGTCATAATTCTTTATCTGACCATCATCACTCTTGCACGCAGCTTAGCTTCCACAGTGTATCACCGATGCAATGCCGTCTCTTCTTACCCTCATGCTTATGTACTGTATGCTATGCACGATAGTAACGATACTGGAGTTATTAGTATGTATCAGGACACACGTCATGGCAGCGTTAGTTGGATCGCGATGCAGGAGCAGCGAATGGCTGCAGTGCCTAATTCAATCCGGCATTCAGTTACTGAGAACCCCATTCATTCATCCATCCATGGGGTTCAGGCTTCAGAGATGGTTACGCTTCATTAATTTTCCGTTCCTGATCATGCCGCGTGCGAGAAATTAAAACTTGGATCGCAAGGGGTTGGGACGAAGTTGACCTGAGTCTCTGCCACCCCCTCCGCGTCGTCGAGTCGTTGCTGAAATGGCAAAATTTAACAGGGACACGGGATGTTGCGTGGACACAACACAAGCTAGGTCAGTTGGGTAGGACACACACACACAAACCCATTTGGCCACATGGCCCATGTATCTCGCGTCGCGGGGGCAGCAAGTGGATGCCACTGTCGCGAATTCCCGCACCCACCACCCACATGCGTGCGCACGCGCACGGAGAGCATGCTACTGTACGTACCTTGGAACGGGCGAAGCTATCGCGTGCGGCCCCCTACGCCGCGCGCTGCTGTTTGTGTTGTGTTTGCGTTGTGCCTCGGAGGTCGTGGGATTGCCGGACTCCGCGCACGCACCAACCAGTTGTCCGAAACAAAGGCGGGGGATCTGTGTATGAGCTGGTCTCTGACACGGGCCTCGTGCGATCCGGCTAGGGGGTTCGAGCCGCGTCACGTTGGTTTTGGGGGGTAGGGTAGGATTGGAACGTGCAAGCTCGGAGGTGGGTGGGTAAGCCCGCGCGTAGCATGTCGGCGGCCTCCTTTACAATAGCAGTACTAGTACAGCTCGGAGGTGGAGCTATGGGTGATTTCAAGAACTACGCGACGGAGAGGTACGGCTTGGCAGAGTGTAACGTACGCCAGCGACTCGCAACGCGGCAACGGCCGGACCCCAGCGGCGCACCGCCCACCAAGCATCGAGAACTTGGCTCAGCTTGCACCCCCCCCCCCACGGAAAAAGTACACCGAAGGTCCCTCTACTTGCTATCGAGTTACAAAATCGTGCTCGAATCATAAAAACGGATACAACGCGCATCTCTTAACTTATAAAACCAATGTAAACAGGTCCTCGTTGGTTTTTGATTTTATCCGATATAACAACGGACTCAGCGTTGGACCCACATAGTTTCCACACGTTGGCCTCTCCTTCCCCTCCCTTCTCCACCTCTCTTCCTCTTTCCTCTTCTTTTCATTGGCAGCCTAGCCGGCGTGTGGAGAGGAGGCCGGTGGGGGAGGCAGCGGCAGTGACGACGCGGTGACGGGCGACGAGCGGGAGCCCCCCCCCCACACCGCCGCCACCGCCGTCGCCGACGGCGCGGGCGCCAGATCCCACCGCCATGGCTCCTCGTCGATCCCCGGCGCTGGTGGCGGAGACGACCGGCGGAGGCGGGTCGACGCCAACGAGGAGAGGAGCGGCGCGGCGGAGGCTGCCCAAGGTGACGCCGCGGTGGGTGGAGGTGGTCCTGTGATCAATGGGAACTCGGCGATGGCTGGACTCCAGCCGCGATGTCGGGGTGGCCTCGCCCCAGGTGTTGCCGACAACCAGCGGGAGGCGCAATCGGGTGATGACGACGAGAAAAAAAATCGGGTGGCCGCCCCCCGAAGAAATCCACCGCAGCCGCTGGCGCACGTCCCCGGGCTGGTTGACCTCAACGTCCTTGGACCGTCGGCCGGTGCCCGGTGACAGCCTGGCCACCACGCTCGCTGGTCCCGCCGAGTTGCCGCCCCGCCATCCTCCGCGTCCCGACAACTCCGCGCCGACCGCCGCCGACTCCCGCCGGTCTATCCCCTCTGCGCCGACCTCAGCGTCCACCTCCACTCGCGTTGCTCCAGGGAGAGGTCCACCACCGGTCTCCATAGCCACCCGGGGGAATCTGTCTCGCCACCGCATCCGGCGGGCTCGTGGCGCCACCATCGCTTAAGCTCACCACGCCGCCGGACGCCGGATCTCCTCCGCCGCTGACCGGGTCGTGGTCCCCTGGCCGTCGGCTCTCTCTCTCTCCGGTGCTTGAGTGCTTCTCTATGCAGCAGGAGTGAGAGGCCAAGTCTTGAGGGGTCTGTGGACTTGGTCTATGGAGGCTATCCAACAAAGGGAGGGGAAGAAGAGGCTGACATTTGGAACTCACGTGGGTTCTACGCTGAGTTGAGGGATGCGCTGAATCCGGTTTTGCGGTTCAAGGACGATTTTATAACTCGATGATAAGTTGAGGCACCTTCGGTGTACTTTTTCCCACCCCCCACAGGCCACGGTACCCCACCTCGCGACGCCGGCCCAGATTAGCTACCGCACCGGGCGAAGTGGAAGCCGAAGCCCACATGCACCTTTTTGCCGGGCTGGCTTGGTGCGCGCGTTGACGCGTCCATCGCGTGGGGAAAATACACTTGTGGGCTTTCCGGTTCTGGACTGGAATAAACCTCTCACCGAAAACTTCATGGGCCTTACCACAGAAACATATGCAGGGTCCGAGAGGTGCACAGGTACCCGCTCCAAAACATAAAACATATAACCTATTATTATCAGGTTGGATATTAACTAATAAGTAGTCTCCATATTCGTAGTATTTAAAAATCTAATTCGGTTATTGGTTGCTACTCCCTCCGTTTTTTAATAGATGACGCTGTTGACTTTTTCTCACATGTTTGACCATTCGTTTTATTAAAAAATTTTATGCAAATGTATAAGATACAAATCACACTTAAAGTACTATGAGTGATAAAACAACTCATAACAAAATAAATTATAATTACGTAAATTTTTTGAAAAGACGAATGGTCAAACATGTGGGAAAAAGTCAACAGCGTCATCTATTAAAAAACGGATGTAGTATATTTTATGATGGAAGTAGTAATAACTCAATAACTCATCCATATTTCCAAGTGGCAAAATGGCTGAAGGAAGTAATAATTACTAAGAAAATTGTTGTTTTTCCGGCAGAATGGTGCACGCACCAACCTTTTTGGGAGGGCCACTTGTGACAGTATTTTTCGGAGTTGAAAGTAACAGGTATAATATTATACGGGCACTTGAGCACAGCAAATTGGATTATTATTGATTGAAACTTTCAAAGATGTACCCCATAGGAGATTAAAGTGAGGTAATGAATAAAATCAAACGAAAAACAGAACGCCAAACACATTGATAAACTATGGAGATCAGGACAGGTGATAAATAAAGTCAGTAATAGTGATGGCTCACAGAAGTCTGACAGCATTATTTGTTGCTTTAGGCCACTGATCACATCGTTTGCTTGCTTGTCTAGGTCATAGACCCTTTCAAGTGCATCGCCATCACCAAATTCCTGCAAAAACAGTGGGAAACATGGTGAGAATTCAATGTTTTCTTTATCAAACTGCACTTCATCGCAAGCTAACTTCATACTATAGGATGAAGTTCCATAATTTCATTGAGATTTTAAAAACAAAGAGGGATTCCATGGGATTTATAAAACTTGTGCAGCTTCGAATATTAATTCTGAATGATGATATCAAGTTAACAACCGATTCCCTGCTGTCACAAGAGGTCTTCAATATTCTTTTCTAGTATACTAGATCAGCTTAAAATGTGATTTCTGAACGAACTGCTACAACAGTTCTTCAGAATAACAATTGTTCCAGAGTATAATTTTGCAGAAGCTCAATACCTAAACTCATCATTCATGAAATAGCTAGCATTTTACAATCAGGGTTTGCGTTATCCTCAGTTACCGTGATTGCCAGACTTACCGCCGAGGTGCAGCAACAGAAACGTCCAATATATCGACCAAGTTAATAAAAAAATAAACAAAATTTTAAATTTTTGATAAAATTTGTAGTTTTCGTCATTTTTGCTTGGTAACAGGCCGGTAACACAAACCCTGCTTACAACCACTTTAATGTGCTAAGTTGCTTGCTCCATATTTCATCCCGATGTAGTATTATTCAAAATAGAAGCACCCAAAATAAAAATATTATATCTCTGAGGAAAAATGCATATATCCTTGGTCTTTGAGACTGAGCAATGTCTCATGTTTTATGAAAGAAACGATATAACCTAGTACTAATGCTAAAGAAACAAGTGAACTTATAGCCCAGGGACTAAAACATCCAAAAGATAAATTCAACAGTGATCAGCATGACAGAATATTAACGGTGATCGACATGACATAATATTATATGGTGGAGAGTATGATATTATATCATGATTCTACCTATTGTTTTGAACAGAAGCAAAACTTGGTACATCACTGAAAGATGATATCTTACAAACCAGATCTTCTAAATTAATTTTTTTCCTTCACTTAGAAGTTAGAATTATAGACGACTTCCAGAAACAAGCCAATACTTACACGTCTAAAATGCAATAAAAACCATGAAGAGTAGACAATGACTTCCTTTCTTTTTTACTCTGAGAACAAACTTGGACCTTAGAACACTTCTGGGTAAGTGCTAGATAGATATGATCTGACTAAGGACCAAGTGTGATATTGTGATGATTATGACAATGGCTGACAGATTGCGACTGTCACTAGCAACTACTAGTTTGGGATATATTTAGACATAGTTACAATTGATAAAAACAAAACAACAAGGCAGATATCATAAAAATGAATAAAATGAAGCAGATAATAATTCATACCAAATGACTCATTCACACTTTCTACATGGGGTGTATTTTTATGTACATTGCATTACAATATCATCAAAGAGAACATGATTTGTAGCTAACACATCCATACCTTGCATCCTTCCTCTCTCTTTTTCCTTTTTTTTTTCAGCTAGGATGCCGGATGATTCTCTGTAGCACGACGGTCCTTGCCCGACGAATATCCCGGCTACACCGATCTGCCTGCTCTCCTAGATCCTCTACACTCTTCATGAAGACCTCCAGCTTCTTCTTGATCTCCTCAACCCCAAACTTGACCGCCTCCTCATCTCGCTCAGCGAACTCTACGCAGTCGATCATCGAGCTGATCTCCAACTCCACCCGGTTGATGAGCACCCTGATACTGTCCAAATCCTTGATGGCAATGAACGTCCCCACCTGCATTGCGCTCACCACCTCCTTCTGTCCACGGAGAGCGTCCTGATACCCTTTCAGTAGAGAATCGATCCACTTCCCCATAGATCCCACCGGAATGGAAGCAGCTGCGGCCAATGCCGCCGCGACTGGTGGGGCAGCGATGGCCGCGGCAACCACCGAGCAGATGAGCACGGCCGCGAAGGTGGTGGCGAAGATGATGCTCGACACACGGCGCCACGCCTTGATCGCCCTGACCTTCTTGTCGAGCCGGTGTTTGCGCTGCTGCAGCTTCTCCAGCATGGTCAGCTGCTGCCGGTACACGGCCTGGAAGGCGCTGAAGAACTCCTCGGTGAAGGGGTCCCCGGCCGCCTTGAACTGGCGCAGCTCGTGGAGCGTGCGCGCGTACCGGGCGGAGGGAGCGGCGTCCTCCTGGCCGGCGGCGGCGGCGTCGTTGTCCTCCTCGTCGTCGAACCGCTGGAGCGCGACGTGCAGGAGGAGCTGGGAGTCGCGGGCGCGCTTGAGGCACTTGTCGAGTGCGGTGCAGAAGTCGAGGGTGTGGAGGCTGCTCTCGAAGTAGTCCTCGACGAGGTCGAACAGCTCGGGGCTCTTCCAGATGTCCTTCTTGCAGTCGAGGATGACGCGCACCACCTCCTGGTTCATGTCGAGGAGGCAGCCGGTGACCTCGCGGAGGGACTCGAGGGACAGCGAACGCACCTCCACGCCCACCGCCAGCGTCGAGATGGCGCGGCTCGTGCGCCGCTGCAGCGTGGTGTCGAACGTGCGCAGCTCCGGGTCTGATCGGCACGCCGCCTCGTACGAGCTCAGCTCCTCCGCCGCCGCCGCCGCGGGCGGCAGCGCCGACTCCGAGCTCGCCGGCCGGGGAGGCCGGTGGCTGCCGCTGCTGCTGCTGTTCCCCATTGCCGGAAGGAAACCGGGCAGGCGTCGCTCACAGATCAGACCTCCACCGGATCTTTGTATTGGATTTTTGGGGAAAGTAACACCAAGATCAAGAAACGAAACGTCTCAGCAACTAGGATGGATCAAACGAGCGAGCACTGATCGCCACGAGCCACCCGCACCCCACCGGCTTTCCAAGAACCAAGAACAGAACCGGGAGAGGAGAATGAAGAACTGGATTGAGCGGAGATCCGCGAGCTTTATCCTATCCAAGGAAACGGAGGAAGGCCTCTCCCCCCCGTTGCGTCGCGGGCGAAGCGGCCAAGAAAGCGCGAGGTTACGGAGAAGCAAGGAGAAGAATGCAGGAGGCGGGGGTAGTAGGCGCTACGGGACGGAGGGATTTGGGGGGTGGTTTTGTGGAGCGTCGCTCCTGCTGCTGTTGTCAGGCGAGGTGGTGGTGGTGATGTGGGGATGGCTTGTACGCATGACGAAAGGAAGAAGCGATGGGGGGGTGTGGCGGCGCGCGGGCGGAGGGAGGGAGAGGGAGGCGGCAATGGCCGTCGCCGGAAGCAACCTGATGCGTCTCACTCCATCGATCGCTGGGGCTGGGAGCGTGTGTGTGGATGTGGTGCGCTGTAGCGAGCGAACGCGAGGAGGTGTAGCACAGCGATTTGCGCGTGTTTTTGCCCGGATCGATGAGTTTGTTTGGGTGAAGCGAGCAAGCAACCAAAGCTTTTGGCGAGAGAGAGAGAGAGAGAGGGAGAGAGTGGGGGAGTGTTTGGCACTTTGGCGTGGCGCGTGGTCGGGTCTCCACAGCAAGAGAAAAAAAAAAGGCAAAAAAGGGGGGGGGGGGGGATGCATATGCAGAAGGGGAGAGTTTGCGAACGAATTTCTGTTGCGAAATTGCTCGCTTTCTGCCGAGATGTTCGTTCAGCTCATTGCATCAGCTCATAGATTGAGTTTGTTGTTTCAGATTGAATTTTTTTTGTATGTCTTCTTATCTACATCTGAGTATGGTGTTCGCCCTGCACATACAGTACTGCAGAAGATCTCAATTGAAATTTGTGGAGTTCACCACTTCCCAGTTCCCACCTGCCTACAAGAGAAGATCAGCACAAATACCACTAGTAGCGATGCACATTTTACTACTGCGTTGTCCACATACTGGGGAAATCCAAGAACCAAAGCTACAGAGCATTAATCCCATCTAAACGGATATATACCAGATTACAGAATCCCAGGTTTTATGGGTGCATCCGCCAAATTTTGTCCTTTATTTCTTTTCTTTGTGTGAGAGCAAAGCTTCAATAACTTTTTTATCCATTATGTCTTTTCCTGAATTTGTGCACCCCTTTATAAGCACGATGAGTCGATGATGACGTGCTCAAAGCAACATAAAAGGTGACACACTGTTGTCAAGTTCACTATTCACTCCAGTTAATTAAAGGGTTAGTCGTGTAAACATGACAAAAGTGCTAAGTGTGAACCGCTGATGACGGAAACAGCATAGCAGCAGTAGTACTGTAGTAGAAAGCCGGCACCGCCTGCCGGCCGTCCTGCCCAAATGTGTCCCTCCTGGGTTGGTCTTTGCCGGAATCTTCAGAGAAAAGAAATGGACGTTTCCCGGACACCGACTCGTGGTCCCATGTCCCTAGTTGACCTCCTCGGTTAAGTTCAGGACTATCTGGTCATGTGTGCTCTGACTCAGGTCGATCTGGTGGTACTTGCTCTCGCAAAGACGCGGCGCACACGTCGTCGTACGTCGCGGCGCCGGCGAATCAATCGACACGTACGTCGTCGTCGGCGTACGTGTGTCGCTCGTTGACACCGACGGCACGCGGCGCGGGGCCGATCGATCGATCGATCTACGCGACGGAGGGGGAGAGGGGCTCGTGAGTGTGGTGTGTTTGATTCCGGTGTGCGCTCGTTTCGGCAAATTAACACGCTCGCTTAACGGTTTCTCGTTGCTTGCCTTGCCGCTCCTTCGCTTTCGCGTCTTCCCTTGGATCATGGGAGAGGAGGAGGTTGCTTTGCCTTGCATCCCGGTGCACTGCACTGGCCCGGGATCGATGATCCACAGACACATACTTTGTAGTAAGTAGCTTGTAGCACAAACGATGAGGATTAATTGCGTGATCGGTTTCATGTCAAATTGCATGCCCCCTTTTCTTGTGTATGTAAATTAATTGATACTACTAACAATCATGGATGTGTGTTTGTGGGGTACAAGGACATGTATTGCTTTTGCAAACTTTAAAACGTGCGTGCATGTTTTGCGTCGTGTGTGATGGATGGCCTGGCCCGCACCAATCATGAGCGCGATGGATTTGCTGTTGATTTTGTGCCGTCAAATCGGCCGGGTGTGTACATCATCCTTTGCAACAACGTCGTCAACTCGTCAAGCTTCCTGGGGTTGGTTGGTTGCAGACTTCGCAACGTGTTCATGAACTTAAAAAAAAAGGGTATAGTAATCATTTTTCCTGGAGTATATACAATAATGGTAACAAATAACAATGGCTAGACAATCAAGTGTCTGATTGCGTTTGCGATACAGCTGCAGATAGACTACTGAGCTGGTGCTGATATTTGGCTTTCTCTGACAAGCAACTAATCAGATCGATATAACACATCATGTATCGACATGGCACGTCTTCTGTCAGAAAAAGCATAGTATGATGCAACGCGCCGAGAAGTATTATACGCTCCGCATGAGGCTCATGACGGAGTATTTGGCAGCAATCGACATAGATGGTGCATTTCCCTCGTGACTGAACTGTCCAGTGCAGTCCAAGATAATCAAGATAAATATCCAATCATCGGATCAGCAATACGAATAATTCCGTTATCGTGAAGAGGTTTCTTGCGCAAACTCTCGGGTTTTCCTGCCAAGGATAAATCATGCGTTGTGTGTGTCTTTTGTCATGTTAATTTGGCATGTTGCAGTGTTTCTGTAGCTACTGTTCCTTTCAACGTAACGGCGACGCCTGCTGCTCCGATTTTTTTTTTCGTCGCGTCGCTTGAAAATATTCAGGTGATGGTGGGGAGAGAACCAAAGTACGACACACTTGGACAACGGGTGAAGCAACTAGCTCCGTCTTGTCAACGTTCTCTGAACTTGATTCAAGAAGTTTACTTGGCTTTCGATTTTGATGCAAAAGTATAGGAGTACTATACTAGTAAGCCAGACCTTTCTGTTTGCGTTTGCTGACGATATGCTCGGAGAATCATTAACCAACCGTTTCCGTTGGCGGCTAACTAGCTTGGCAATCGACGTGTACAAGCAGAAGCAAACCGGTGAGGAAATATAATAACCTCTGGGCAGTGGCTTTCATTCATGTTTAAAAATTCATAATATGTGGCATAGAATTAACCATGTATTCGCTGATAACGACAATTACTAAGAAATGAACACACATAAATGTTAGAACAGGCATCTTCTTATATTAGGGTAAAACTTTATAACAAGCAGTTTTCCAAACTACTTGAGTTTCATGAAAACCAACTTTGCCTGTTATACGAAAACTCAAAATATAAACAGGGAGATAGCTAAAACCAGTATAGGGAATACCGAATACCCATATAAAAACCATTACATTTGAGCTAAATCCTATCCTAACTGAGCAAATTAAAATTCGTGACTTACCTGGAAGCATGTGAGTAAAACCTATGAAAGGCTGAAAGTAGCTGTGGCACAAAACAAAAAACAAAAAAAAGGAGTTCCTAAGTACTCGAAACTAGGCGCTTTCTGGTTGAAGTCACACAGGCTGAGGAACTGCAGTAGCACGGCGGCGAGGCGCTCTTCAGAAGTTCTGAACAAATTTTTGCTGCTGGTTGGCAACGAAACGGAATTATAATCTTTGTATCAACATGGGGCATCAAAAGTTTCCTGTCATCCTTGTATTTGACTTGGTATAGATTAGTCGGTCTTCATTCGGCCGGCTAATTTTTTAGGAAGATTGTATAGGAGTAACCCAAGAACTAAGATAGCAGCACCAACCAAAAATGAAGTGCTTAAATTTGTCCCACCAGGAATGTATGGCAGAGGTAGTGACAACACATAGATGGAAAGAGGAACTGCAAGGCAAGCAGAAATGTAAAAGTTAGAAATGAAATGAACAAGACCGACCAGGCCGAATCATATCTACTCGTGACAAGTTCTCTAGCAATGTGTTTGCACGCATGTAAATCATATCTGCACAAACCTACAAAATGATATGCACGGGTCATAGATGTTTCCAATACTTTAGCATTCGTTTCCTAAGAAAATGACCGCACACAACTATACCTGCTAAAGTTGCTGTTAGCGAAGCAACCAGTGCAGTAGACATCTTCACCAGATTTAAAACAGAAATGTTGAAGGCCATGTTCATAGCTATGAAGAGCAGTGGCAGCAAAGGAGCTCCATGGCAATCTGAAAACTTAAACCATCAGTACATGATTTTAACATCTTTACAGAAAGGCTACAGTGCATGTGTTTCATCGTGGAGTGATGGAGTCTTTTATTCTGTTTGTCCACAAGTTTTTTTTTACTTCTTACCATCTCCGATAAACGATTTTAGGTAGGTCTTTTACCATAATGCACTAGAAAAATGATAAAAACAGCATATTGTGAAAGTACTCTGCAAGACAAACCCAACGACATTGTTTTTATGCAGTTAACCTCTTTCACATGCGGCAAAAGGTTTCCAAGGTGTCCTTCTTAAAGACGGACAGGGTACTAATCAGCAGTCAAGGTGACAGAGATTGGGACCCTGAACATCCAAATTGCAATAACTAGTAAGTGTTTTACAAGCCTGGGATCAATGCATACCTGACCAATTTCACCATCCAGGAGAATATTTCTTCATAAAAGTGCAGATTTTATGTGACAAAGCTCAACTTATCTAGCATCTGAAGGTACTACATGCAGAAATACTCACCCTTCAGATTACCTCCAATATTCAGAAAGCATGCTGCACCACGGTTTATGTATGCAGGAAGCTCAGCCAACGGGATGCCTTTTAAGTTAGACAGAAACGGAAGGAGTAGGAAGACAAACAGGGCCTGTGTAGTCCAAGATATCAGATTTCAGGTAAACAAACAGGAGAGAAAAAAAGGATAGCTAAGTGAAGAATAATAACTAGTACAACAGCGATCATTAAGATCCATATCATTGTAAGGTGAGTGCCGCTCCTGGTTTCATTACTGACTACTAAACCCGCAGTGAACAAAAAGAAGATAAGCATTTGTTTTACCTGAAAACCTGACCCAAAGGAGTTGACCACAAATATGTCAGGCCTCTTTCCCTGTATAAAAAGCACAGAACCAACTGCTTGAAATAAGACAAACAAACTAGGTGTTTATTAAATGATATTTTCACATGCATTCCCCTGCCACTATTTTTATCAGTTGGTAGTACTCTCTGTTTTTCATTTCAACAAAATAAAACCAAAGCAGCAACTACTGTGCTGCCTACCTGATAATAGAATTATTACTAACCTTAAGGCGTTTTGCACCATCAATAAAAACAAATTCCTGCCATAGAATAAAATAAATAAGAGTTAAGATAACTGATAGGTTCATTACTAGTACACAGATTAGTACATTTCACCTTGATTATGGATGCACCAGCATGACATGCAGACGAAGCCATCAGTACTGCTGGCCAGAACAGCTTGACATCAGATAGAAATGGACCACTGTTCGCTCCACTGTTTTCATAAACAAAAAAACATGGCCAAGAAATACTCAAAAGGCAATCGACATGTAAATACAAATGTCCTGTAACAAAATTTACCCCTTTCAATTCCCTGCTATTAACTGCACAGTTATGAAGTACCGAAAAATATAGAAAAAACTAGCATGCTAACTGATCCAGTACACACCTTGCCACAGCTAGAATTACCCCCGCTGTGACGAGCAGGCATCCAAATATTTGATTTGCTCTGTATTTCCTTCCCAAAATGAGGACAGATAAGATAAGCTGCCAAACTAAAAAGGACTGCAAAAGGATGACAGGCATGTTAGAGTATTTGTGAAAAGATCACATGGGAAGTAGCTATGGAAGTGGTATCCAGAGAGCTTATACAAGATAACTGTATGAAAAAAAAACACTAATGCCTATTAGACAGTTCCTTCACACTGTTGATTACAATAACTATTTAAATGCTGCTTTAGGGAAAATCTGAAATCTGTCACTGTAACAAAAGAACAGACTTAAGGGAAATGGTAGGAGTGCATGAGAACTTCATACTTTGGATAGTAAAATTTTCATAAAACAAAATACAGACAAGTGGCCCAAATACCCAATGGATACATTTAGACCTGTGAAGCAATACCAAAACATAGTACCTGAGACAACACTGGAATTGAAGGTCCAGGCAACATAGCTGCGAGAACAGGCAAAATAGACCGATATAAGATTCCATTTAGTTATGACACAAGGAAACCATACTTCAAATATTGTCCTCTCTGGCCATAAAAATTTGATGTTTAGGAGAATATTTATGCAAACTTTTTACACTTTAACTATCAAATTTATATTATAATAAATTTATAAAATCTAATAAGCTTATGACAGTACTTTTCAAGGCAAATCTACACATATTTCTTTTTTACTTTTAAAAGTTTGACCAAATCTTGTCCTAAACATCAAACGTTTATGCCCGGAGGGAGTGCCAGTTAAATAATAAACTTTAAACATAGCATTGCAAAATCACCTGCAGCAGCCATGCCTGAAGCAACACCTAGTGCTTCTAGTAAGCCAATCAACATGAAGCGTGATTTTGGAAGTGCTAGCATTTCTTTAGTGACAATGCCAGCATGATATCTTATAAAAAGAATAGAGAAATATACTATAACATACCTGCAAAAACAGATAAGCATATGAGCATCTGCACAACTATTGTGAAGAAATCATCTATCTATTACTTCCTCCGTTTCATATTACAAGTCGTTTTAACTTTTTTCCTAGTCAAACTTTTGTAAGTTTCACCAAATTTATAGAAAAATTCAGTAACATCTAAAACACCAAATTAGTTTCATTAAATCTAACATGGAATATATTTTGATAATATATTTCTTTTGTGTTGAAAATACTACTATGTTTTCTATAAATTTGGTCAAATTTTAAAAAGTTTGATTAGGAAAAAAATCAAAACGGCTTATAATATGAAATGGAGGGAGTATATTAGCATAGTAGTAAAAAAAACTAAACCTCCATGTATTCTCTTAATGGTTCTGAAGTACTTCTAGAACGTTAGGCAAGTTAAAAAATATATACTTCATCCGTTTCACAATGTAAGTCATTCTAGCATTTCCCACATTCATATTGATGTTAATGAATCTAGATAGATATATATGTCTAGATTCATTAATATCAATATGAATATGAGAAATGCTAGAATGACTTACATTGTGAAACGGAGGGAGTATATCTTACACCAGTAATCAAGGTGGGTTCAGACCGTAGTGATATAGACTTGATCAAATATATCTCAATCTTAGAACTTACAATGACATCCTAAGAATTAAAATTGTGCCTTTTGAACTAAGCGAAAGAGCTGTACAATAAACGCAACTCTATCTCCATATAAAAGCATGTATAAGCATCCTGTAGTTGTATTGTACGGAAAAGCAAACGAGATGGTGTGCATAACACACTTACATTAGTTGACATGTAATTCTGAATAAGTGTTGCACCTCAGAGGTGGAAGCAAACAGACAAACTTAAAGTTATCATTCCAAATAAAACAAACTTAAGAGTCAAAGCGTTAACACGCATTTCGATTGAGCTCAAAGAATGTACTTGTAGAAGACTAGACTGTAGTACAACAATACTCCACGGCACAGATGACACAAGCGATCACAAAATCCTAACAGTGAGCCGTGGTATATTGTAATCTGTGCGAAGCATCAAAATTACCCAAATGTGGTGGCTTGGGCGAGGAAGAACGGGTAATTCCTCATGGGCACGAGCGCCAGCTTGTACAGCACCCGGTTCATCACCGCGAGCACCACCGTGGCCGCCGCCGCCGCGGCGATCCCCGTCCCACCCCCACCCTCAACCTCACCATCGCCCCCTTCCCCCGAAGCCCCAGCCCTCGCGGCCGCCCGCGCGCGCGTCGTCGTCGTCTCGACGCGCCACCTCCCGGCACCATCCCAACTGGCGGCCGCGACCGCGAGGCCCACACGCCGGGGAGACGGGAGGGAGGCTCGGGGGGAGAGGGACGCCGCGCTCCATCGAGTCACGCGGCGGAGGGAAGGCCGCGGCGGCGAGGAGAGGAGCAGCGCCATGGGCATGGCTTCGGTGGGTTTGAAGATTTCGCGGCGGGTCAGTCGGTTTTGCTTCGGCTTCTGTGGACGGAGGCCACTGGTCACTGACCGGTGGGGCCCACAGGATTAACCCAACCCACCTGGCCTTTCCGTGTCCGTAGCCCACGGCCCGAAACCCCGACTCCCCGCCGCCGCCGCCGGTGATGGGGATCTCCGAGTCCGATGAGCTCCGGGCATTCGAGGCCACCGGAATCTACCGTCTCGCCGAATCCGGCGCTGCTTTCCTCGACCCCGTCCGCATCCTCAACGCGTCCTACCGCCGCTTCCGCCTCGTCCCTTCTGCGTACTACTCCCGAAGCTTCGGCACGTCGCGTCAGGGAGGCGAAGCGGAAACCGAACGAACTGGGGAGGCGTCTCCAGAACGGAAGAAGCGGAAGCGGAAGCGGCAGCGGCAGCCGAAGCCCAGGGAACTGAACGAAGTGGAGCGGATGGCAGAAGCTCGGCACCAGGTGAGGCAAATGCGATGTTGGATTATTTTGGTGCTTTTTTTTACGTTTTGTTCCCCTTGGAATTTATTCCGAGAGCAGAAAAATGCTTTTTGTTTTGTGCATTAGTGACAAGATCTTTGTTGACACAGAACAATATTGTTAGATTGAAGTCTGTATGCGTTGCAACAGCTAATTTTGTCAACAGCAAGCTAGAAATCAGGAGCTGCTACTATGTTTATGTTAGAAGTCTGTTGCATCTAAATGTAGTGAACATTTATTGGTTTGTTTAGTTGCCGGCAAGATTAATATAGTTTTGGAAAAGGAGATCAAACAGTGCTTTGCAGGTATTGTGATGTAATGCTTGGATTTCATGTGTGTTCCATTTGCTAGGAAGCAAGGCCTTTGCTATCGAGCGCACACAAATCACTGCTTAAGGCTAAAGATCTACTGGAGTTCCTTCCGAGGATGATCAAGGAAGATGTGCGCATGCTTGATGTGGAAAGTAATTTGGAGAAGAATCTTGTTGAACTTGGGAGCTCATGGCGAGCGCCTTTATGTGAGATGACTCTTTGCTTTCAGAAGTCTTCTGGTGAGGATAGTGAGGAAGGTAAAATTAAGCGTACCAAATATATCCTTTCTGATGAGCGTATTTTTAACTTCATAGTGTATTATGAAAGCAGTGGTTCCTTCTCTTTGTTTTAAGGTATCTGCCATAAGACATCCACTCCACTGTTTAATAGTACAATCAGTATCGAAGAAAATGATGACGCAGAAGGAGAATTTCAGGATAGACGTTATATTTTACCAAGACGATGTTGTTTCTTGATGGTTAGTAACTATTATTCTTCCGCGGTACAGTTTTTTCATAGAAGTATAATATTTGTCCTTGATCTCGAAATGTTTTTTGCATGATCTTGATGATACGTTAAAGACTGACCTCAAACATGTCCGTGGTCTAATTCCTGGTATGCAGTAACATATCACAAAAAACAACCTAGTATGTATTTGCATATACCTGTTCTTCTGGTAATTTACTAATTTTATTAGCCAATGTACTTGGTTCCTTAATTTTTATGATGGTGCTCATTTTCTCCAGATAATTACAATCAAGGTTACAACCTTATAGTTGTTGATCCACCTTGGGAGAATGGATGTGTTCGTCAGAAAGTAGCGTAAGTTTGCTACTTTTTGGGTTTGATTCGTTTGTGTAGTTAGGCATTTCCTTAGAGAAAATCTCTTTTCTCCTCCAAGCAAGCAAAAGCTTGTGTCTAGATGGGGAACCACTTAAGCTTTGGCTCACATTGTGATGGATGACATTATAATCTTTACATGGTAGTCTCAGATATCACTTTTTAACTTTTTATATATATGACATGTTTGAAATTGAACACATGTCCTGTTTATGCTTGTTATTATGTTTAGCCACTAAAACTGTAGGTGCAGTTGTTCTCTTTAGCTGATCTTCAGCCGATGCATAAATCATGATAAGCATATGGGGTATCTAGGATGTGCTGACCTTTTTGGTATGGCTCCGATATGTTTCATTTGCAATCCCTAGGGTATATCATGTCTTAGTTCTTGAAATTTTTTCATAGGAATGCAATGCACATGATCATGTCTCACGGATTACACGGATTATTATACTATGATGCACTGACCGCGAGACATATTATGCTGATATTACGTCCTCCCATAGTAAACTCTGAGCTGAGTATATATTGAGTAATCTCATGAAAATTAAATATTTGTATATTAACAAATACTCATTTTCTACTTTATTGTTTTCATCCGTTCAATTTGAAATCACTTTAAATATATTGTCATCCAGGCATTTCACTCATCCAACTATTCACGCGCTAGGTACCCTACACTTCCCAACAGACATTTCTTGTACCTTCCAGTACAAGAACTTGCCCATCCAGCTGGAGCTCTTCTAGTTTTGTGGATTACAAATCGGGAGAAACTTTGGAAGTTTGTTGAGGAGGAGTTATTTCCTGCTTGGGGAGTGAAAGATCATACTGTGTTCTATTGGCTGAAGGTTTGCACCTAATACTCATCTGCCACATTCTATCATTCGACAGTAATTTTACTGATGCAATTGGTATATTTTTAGTGGCATCCTTATTTTGTTCAATTTGGTTCTGAAAGTCTCAGTAAATCATAGGTGAAGCCAGATGGTTCGCTGATTGGCAATCTAGACTTGCTCCATCACAGGCCTTATGAGTGCCTCCTTGTTGGCTACATAAATCTTGTGAGTTTCTCTTCTAGATTATAGCCTTTTTCCTGAAATACACCTTCGATCCGCAAGCTGTGTTCTGAAATTGATGCATTTTGTTCTCCTGGTTCCTTGTTGCAGAACAAAGAGGCCGTACGAGGTTCAAAATTCAAGTTTTTGGAAGAAAGGCGGGTAATTATGAGTGTACCAGGTGCTCACTCAAGGAAACCTCCCCTCCAGAGTATCCTTGTCTGTAGTTTGTCTGTGTCCATGCTGTTTATAATTTATAACTGTTGCAATGAGATTCTATTATGTTACTATGTAAATATGGCTTTCTTTATAGTTGGAAATATCATATATGATCAAGATCAACCCTTAACTTGTAAAAGAATTACTTTCAGAATATATACCAGGTCCTAAACCTGCAAGGTGCATTGAGCTTTTTGCCAGAGAGTTGGTTTCTGGTTGGACCTCTTGGGGAAATGAGCCACTCCGTTTTCAGGATGCAATGTACTTTTTTAATAAGCAAGAGCATGATGTGCACAGCTGAGTGATTGCTGCAAGCCCGCGAGGTGACGACTACAATCCACGCTTTGAATACCTGGAGGCATGCTCTTCTCTGGAAGTACTTCTAGTCAACCCACCCTTTTCTTCCTTGGAGTACTTTCCAGAATCACACATTCACACCCAATATTTACATTGCTGCTTTACATTCTGAATTGTCAGCAGTTAACTGATATCATCATGGCTTTTCTTTTTCAGGTGATTTTTTTTTCTCAAAGTTTACCCATGGTGGAGGTGGATAGGGTGAATAGATGAAGGGGTGAAGAGAACTGAAATCATCAACTTGTTACATGAAGGAGATATAAAGGGGTGGAGGAGAAAATTAACTTCCAGGAAGAGATCACATGCCGGTCTCAATACATGACGGTGGGATCATCGGTTTTCAGGTTATGACGAAGACCACAAGCTGAACTCGTGGAATACAGTTGCTGCGCTGCAGTTTGACCTCTCAGATTTGTACTACTGACGCAGGCAGACAGAGTCTCAGAGACAGTAGCATATACAGATAACAGATTGGTAATGACCAAAATTCCATCCACCGCTGGGTTTCAGCTCAAATACCTCACCACTAGTTCTTGAGCCCCTATTCTGGATTTGGATCCATCCTGTACCAAACATTCCCGTGTCAATTGGTACAAAATCTTGATAGAATATAATGGTGTCTATGGCCAAGGCTATTTCTCGTGTCACTCTCTTCTTGACGTACACAGCCTTTGCCATTCTCATTGGAGGAGTGCATCTGCAGAATGTGCGTGTCGAGCAGCAGAATGGAGAAGCAGCAGCATCAGCTCTATGCCTCTACGTGTGGCAACGCTTGTGCGTAACGGCACGAGGCGTTGGACCCAAGGCACCAAATCCCCTTATCCCTCGTCGTGCCGAGGCCGTTGCACCCGCCGCCGACCGCGACGTCCAGCCCGACGCGACCGACCTTGCCGACGAGGCGACGACGCCGTAAATCCAAATGACGCATCTGCCCCTGCCAGAGCGTTCGGGATTTGCAGGCAGGGGCAGTTCCGTCCTCTCACAGACGTTTCAAAAAATCCTTATTACGAGCCGATCATCCCCGCGCCTGCTCCAAATCACTGCAATTGCAGAGCTCAAAGGCTTGCTTCCGAGATGCCAGGCCTAAGGCCCGAGTCTCCGGCAATCCCATCGCCAGAGCTCCGCCGTGTCCGGACGTCGTTCACCGGAGCTTCTTCCTGGGTAGCCACGACTGCCATGGGTAAGGTGGTACGATCAGCCAATGCGCCGGTCGAGCCGAAGGCGAAGGTAGAGGATGTGGAGAAGCAGAGGAGGAGGGGTAAGGGAGGTTGCAATGGGACCGTCTCGTCGGCGAGGTGTAGGAGCCCACCGCCGTCTCCTGTCAGCCCGGAGCTGGGGAAGACGAGGTGTTCATGGATCACAGTCAACTCTGGTGAGTTTTTTTTTTTTTGTTACTCTGCACTCTTATCAATTTCCACCCAGCGAGAAGGAATTGTGTCTTGTATGATTTGAACAAGATTTTTGAGAAAACGTTTCAATGTTTTATTCTGTTCAAGAAAAATGTGTTGGCAAATATACAATCTTCTGCATTTTGCGCTGGAATAATAACATAACTGAACTCCATGCAATTTTGATTGATTTGTGGTCAATGTCACAAAAAAGGATTGGTAGTGGAAGGCTTTTGAACTGGCGATCTGTGATTTAGCCCTATAATTTTTATCCATGAATTACCCAAAAGCATGACGTTCAATTTTGTGCTAGTATATAACTGCAGAACTAAAGCTCTTCATGACACTTCATTTCTTCAGAACCCCTTTATGTTGCTTTCCATGATGAAGAATGGGGAGTTCCAGTTCATGATGACCAGAAGCTGTTTGAGCTGCTTACCTTATCACAAGCCTTAGCTGAAATCACCTGGCCTATCATTCTGAACAAGAGGGACGAATTCAGGTCTGCTTTTCAGAGTAGATGACACATCTAAAAGAGAGTGCTTAAATGTGAAATATCTACTGAAACTTAATTGTCTTTCATCAGGGAGATGTTTGATGGTTTCAACTATGCATCAGTGTCTGAGTTCACGGACAAGAAGATAAACCTTTTGTCGAAATCAAATGGAAACATGCTACTTTCGGAGCAAAAGATACGGGCTGTTGTAACAAATGCCAAGCAAATGCATAAGGTAAGAGAACCATGTATGCTATTATTTCAGCTGTTTGATGCAATAAATCAAAATACTTTGTTCAATTCGTTCTTTAAAAGAATAGTTTGTTCGGCCTTTATCTGAAGATACAGTAATGAATATTTCCCGCTTGCAGTTTCCATCAGTTATGTTTCTTGAATTATTTATACTTCAAAATTAATACATACTTTGATAGTACTCCCTCCATTCTAAATTGATCTACATATTTCATAGTTACACCAAGACAAAAAAAAAGCTAATAACTCTCTCATACTACATTTACTCTAGTAATATGTTACTACTGGCGATACATATCTGTAGGTAATCCAGGATTTCGGATCGTTCAGCAACTACTGTTGGAGCTTCGTAAAACACAAACCCGTCAAAAGCAACTTCCGCTATGCTCGCCAAGTACCTATCAAGACGCCCAAATCTGAGGCCATAAGCAAGGGCCTGATGCGACGAGGCTTCCAATGCGTTGGCCCTACGACAATCTACTCCTTCATGCAGGTTTCTGGCATCGTTAACGACCATCTGTCATGCTGCTTCAGGTTTCAGGATTGCAGAGATATCAAAAGGAACCTGAGAGCTGAGCCAGGATTGATAGAAAGAAGGTTGAACTCACCGCCTTCCTCAGAAGACTCTGAAACTAGCAGGGAGGCGTGACTGGTGCTCACTACTGAACTTATTAACCTGAATTACATCGGTATTCAAGAACGTAACTATATGATTCTTTGCTGGTTTGTCCTCATTGGGTGATTATTTTGTGTTGTATGTTGTAGCCATGACAGTTTGAGCTATGCATTTTATGTTGTCACTCCTTGAGCAATGTATATTGTATAGGTTGTTGTACAGATCGTTTGACGAAACAGTGCGGTATAGTTTGTTTGGGGACTTGACTTGTAACATACCTGTATATTATATAAACTAGCATTGGATGGTTTTGATGTATCACTGAGTGGTTTTCTACTATGTATCATACTTGTTTGGTTTTCTGAATGTTTAGTTTGGCTATCTTTGTTCAGGCGATGCTATGCGGTGTTCCATTTCCAAGGTTGTGTTCTTTTGCTGTCCAACCAAAGAGTCAGGGTACCTGAACTACTGTCTGATAGTCTTACGAAGTGATTTTTATTTTTTTTAAAAAAGATATTATTATCATGTTGCAAACAAATTATTCTGATAATTTCTAAGTTCTTCTCTCCGTTAATGAGAAGATGATAGCCTTAATTTGGAGGATCCATACCAGACTATTAATATGAACGGGCCAGCACTAACTAGAACGGCCTGGGAGTTAGCTCAACAAACATGGGCCTAACAAAAGTCACAGTCCAAGCTCCGACCTAACACACATGGGCCTTACGTACGCCACAATCCTATTCCAGCCTAACTTGGGCCACATATCTGTTTGGATGGGCCGTAATCCTGACCCATGTGGATTAGGCCCATCAAGACAAGGTCTCAACTAAGGTTGCTCCTTTGTTCGGCAACCAAACAATCTTTTCACAATATATATTGCCTGTCAGAACCTCCTTTATATCGAGAATAATTCTCAGATGTCAATTAAAGCCGCAATGCCTGACATGATGTTGGTATGGAATACCCTTATACCCACCGAATTTGTCGATAGTAACTATCAGGAGTACTTAAATTACTGATATTCGTTTCTTTTTGCAGAAATCTGATATGATGATCAGATGAAACATTCGCATCTTCTTAATTTCTAAATTTAATCCTGGATGCTAACCCTGTGTTTCACTAAATATATCTTCGTAAGTATTGAAACACCGCAACAAAAGTATAGCTATCTCTGTAGGTCCGTAGACATGTGTAAGTGTTTTTTGAAAGAACAAAAATAATACTAGTATGAAAGTGTTGTGTTGACATGGGTATGATGCGTCAGTGCATAGGTCACGCACTTGCCTTGTATAGCAAATCACAAGATAATGCATTTTCCTCGAGAGGAGAGCCCCCTAAAAAACAAGCTAATCACAAGAAAGTTCCACCACCTTTCAGACTTTCTACAGGGTTAATTGGGCAGCTAATTAAAATGCCCCCACATAAACTAATCTTAACACACGGCCACGTTTCGCCATGGACGTGATCTCTCATTAAAGCCTTAAAACACTTCGCACACCAAAACCTCTAGTTTAGCCCTCACAATAGGTCATTTTTAAGTTTGGAATCCCATCATTTCCCCACTAATAAACAACTGATCTCACCATCGCCGAGGGCGCCTCGGTATCCGTGCATCGCGCCATTGCTCCGCCGACACCACCGCGCGAACCCGCCACGCGCGTGTCGCGTATCCGGAGCAGCCAGGTCAGCAAACAAGTGTCCATGTCATGCTAGAGGAGCACCTGTGTGAGCATTGCAGTGTGGACGAAGCTAATGTCCCCAAAGCTAAAAAAAGGTTAAAGAGTTGTTTAGTGGTGATTAACGTTAGCCCTTCACCTTTGTCTGAATGTTCCAAGGTCCCCTACGTATCCCAGCCCCTAGCTTAGCTACCTAGCCAGCCTATTAAGGCCATCATGTCCTTAATTTGCTTAACTGAATTCTGTGGTTGGTGCTTAAGCTTTTCGCATGCAACTGGGATTAGTTTAATTCGATGCCGATGTGGTAAGGAGGTGTTAAGAACTTAAGATAACGGAGGGGAAATGATCAGTATTAACAAACCATGCAAAGCATCATGGTCTGAAACATGCCAAGTGTGTTGCCTTGGAGTTGAAGCGTGTTAATGTGGCTAATTGCCATCCAGTCCCTTCTCCTTGAAAGGTGGCACGAAACTTGGCGCCTTTTAGGGGAAAGCAAGGCCTTGATTCCCAGTATAAACTTGGCATTAGTGCTTGCTGCTGCAGTTAAAAACAAAGCTCAGAGTTTACACCTGTTGCCACAATGTGATACGCTTCCAGTAGGAAGATTGCACGCGTGTCGCCATGCGACTGGATATGATCAGCTGCCATGTCTGAAGAACTGGATATGATCATGCAGGGGTCACCCTGTTGCGACAGGTTTTGGATTCATCAACCAACGTTCATGGTTGTCTTAATTTTTATAACCAAGTTGGTTACAGAACATGCTCGATCGGTCATGGACTGCTCTTCTTAATTAACTAATTAACTTGTTGCAAATATCAAACGGATCATGTATGTTAGTAATTTCAATCGCCTCGAAGAACTTGCTTGCTGGTACGATCGTTGCCTGACGACAAACTGACAGAAGAAGAAAATGCCTTGACTCGACGATCAAAGTCAGTCATGGCGGGCGCAAAATTAGCTTACGGGCGCAAGTAACGACGACGTAGTATCACTATAGCTTAGCTTAGCTACGAGTACTATACACTGGTAGAGAAACCATCTTTGGTCGGTCGACCTATATCCACAATAGTCCCGGTTCCATTAAAAACCGAGACTAAAAAGTCCCGGTTAATAAGAGGAAGATCTTTAGTCCCGGTTGTTGTTACCAACCGGGACTAAAAATCATCTTTAGTCCCGGTTGGTAACTCCAACCGGGACTAAAGTTCATTTTTAGTCCCGGTTGATTCCATGTCAGGCTGTGTCAGGGCCCTATAATCTTTAGTCCCGGTTAGTAACACCAACCGGGACTAAAAATAGGTTTTTAGTCCCGGTTGGTGTTACTAACCGGGAATAAAAATCAAAACACACTATATAATCCATAGTACCAATCATCTTTTCCCGTCCACACAACAAACTCCTCCCTCTATCTCTTTTTTTCCTCTCTAACTTCTTATCTCTTTCCTTATCTCTAACTCCCCTCCTCTCCTTCCTTTTTTCCTTCACCACAGTGTAGGCGGCCGGCGCGGAGGCGGCGACGCGGGGGACGGTGCGGAGGCGGCCTGTGCGGCGGCCGGCGCGGCAGCGCGGGGGGCCGCGCGACAGCGGCGGTGGGCGGGAGGCCGCGCGGCGGCGCCGGGGGCCGCGCGGAGGCGGCGGCTGCGGTGGGCGGCCGCTCGGCGGCGACCGGCTCGGCGCTGGCCGGCCGGCGTGGAGGGGAGGAGGGGAGGCGGCAGTGGCCGCCGGCCGGATTTTTTTCTTTTTTTTTTTTGAGATGTGAATCTGTGATGTATTTTTGTGTGAGATGTGAATCTGTGATGAATTTTTTAGAACCCTGTGATGTAATTTTTTTAAGAGTTTGTGATGTATTTGGAGATGATTTGTTTGAGAATTTGGAGATGTTCTGTAATATGTGATGATTTGGATATGGAAGGGGATGGTGTGAAATCAATATTCAATATTAAAAGCAGAAAAAAAAGAAAAAATATCTTTAGTACCAACCGGGACTAAAGATGCTCCCATCTTTAGTCCCGGTTGGTAACACCAACCGGGACTAAAGATTGATTTTTAGTCCCGGTTATTTGAACCGGGACTAAAGATAGCGATCTTTAGTCCCGGATTTGTAGTCCCGGTTGAAAAACCGGGACTACAGGGGGTTACGAACCGGGACTAAAAAGCATTTCTCCACTAGTGATACCATCGATAAGCTGCGATTAGTAGCCCGATCACGCAAAGGCGACGGAGGAGATCGATCAAATATTCAAATCTGCATACTATATGCTTCACACATGCTCTTCTCGAGGAGTATAGGATCAAATTTATTAAGCTGTGTACGCGATTAGTCGCTTAATTTGTACATGTTTAGCGTGTGCTCGAAGAGCATGAACACGACAGGAGAAGCTGCTGCCCAATCCGGGAGCGGCCGGCGGGGAGATATCTTAGCTCTGATCTACCCGAATACGCAAAAAACGGATTCGATTTGTCAAACTGTCAAAGTATAGTAGAGGGCCTAGCTGGCTATAGGCTCCTAGAGCCTTACAACAACGTAACTTAATCAAAAGCACAGTAAGCTAGCCCGTGTCCCGAGGAGATTAGGTTTGGTGGCCACTATAGTTGATTAGTACTAGTGTCACTCGTAATCTAATTGATTAACTAATCTCATTGGGATTCCACAAGTTGGAGATGGGGAAACAGGAAGGGGAGGTGTCTGTGATAAGGATGGCAAATGCCATGCCACTCCCTAGTTTAAGGACAAAGCAAAAGCCAGCTACTTGCTATTATTATACCAATAATTGATTTATTAACTGTCAAATGGTGTGGCTTTGTGTGGCGTATGTGATGCCAAGGGGGAGCATACAGGAGGGGTTAATTAGCTAGCTAGGCATGTGACAGGGAATCACCAAGGGTGGTAATCTGCTATAATTACATCGAGCATCTCATTCCATTCCATTCGCCAAAGATTTTCTGTTTATACACCACCCCCCCCCCCCCCCCCTAAGAATATTCAATTATCACATCGCACGACGATTTGGTTCTCCGTAGATCGACATTATATATATTGGCACATATATAGCCGAACATATGACGACGAGATACTACAATGCATATGCATGTTTTCTTACATTAGAAACTAGATTTCCATCTATCACTCAACTCTGCCCTTTTCTTTTTTCTTGAAAGAAATGCAAGGCTAGTGTTTTTATGTAGCTTTTGTACGTAGTACTACTATGAAAAATGCATCTACATCATCATGGATTAATTCTCAATAAAATGAACCAGAAGGGACATAGGGGAGGGCTAGCTAGCTATACCGGAGCAAGAGAGTCAAAAAGCTGGCTTTGCGTGCTTCCTCGAGTGAAAGTATAAAACTCTCTGAAGCTTGGAAAAGTTAGTCGCTGAGAGGAACTAACCCATGCAATTTACCGTGCCCTAAACAATATGCTAATCAATGTTGACAATCCTTATCTGGTCTCTGAAGCATGGGGGTTTCATTGGCTGGTTGATTGAGGAGGTTTGGTTGGCATTTGGTAAGAACAGGGGTTGGTTAAGCAAGCAGCACGTGAAAAGTCCGACGAGCCGTACCATGGTCAGGGCCAGGCCGGCGCGCAGGCCAGATAGGTCCAAAGCTAGCCAGTACCACGTTGTAATTTGGTTTTCTCAAAA